TTTGAAATGGTGCTTGCTATTGATTGCGTGTTTCGCGAGTGCTGAATAATTTTTGGTGGTGTGTGTTTTACTTGAATCGTATTCGTGTTGACTCATACGTACAACCAGCTTCTGTGTTGTTTCACCAATGTACGATGTTTCACAGTCAGCGCAATCGACTTTGTAAACAACGCCGCTTTGCTGGCCCTTCGGTATTTTTGATTTCAAATTCGTAAAACTGAAACCATTCTTGTTGTGCGGTCGCATAGCCATTTTAAGTTCTGATACGAAGTATTCACATGATCGTGAGACCGATTCGCTTAAACCAGGCACATACGCTAATGATGCATAATGTTGTGTTTGTTCGGCAGTGAGCATGGTGTTATCGCCCGTCTGATTTACAGACTAATACGCGTAGCTATTTCCAGCCACTTGTGTATTTTTGCACGATGTCTACATCTCAACCAGCGACAAAGGCAACCCGTGTGCAAATAAAATGACTAACAGTCACTCAGTTGTATGTAACTGTATGTACTATGTAGTGATACACAACTAAAACTGGCTAAGTTGATTGAAATCATGCGTTTTGTATGGAGACAATCACGTTTAATTATTCTTTCAGTCAGTCGACTAATTTGGGACATTTTGACTAAGAGTGATTTGTGATTAAAGTTAACTGCAGTTGCTTATTTTGTTCGAGACAATCTATAGAAGTAAAGTAATAAGTAACTAATACTTTTTTGCGGGGAAAAAAATTCTGTCACTGTCAAATTTCGTACCAACACAACCAAAGTTTTTTTTCAACGAAAAAAATTCTTCGTAGTAGTAAAAGAATTATTGTATAGATTCAAGAAACAAAATCACTAACACTAAGAAACAAAGACATTTTACCGTGTGTGTATAAAAACCCATAACAAGCCTCACATCAAAATTTTCATGACAGTGTTTTCGGAAGCCATTTTAGATCGCTACATTTCGACCAAAATAATTTTTCCAGCCAATATTCGGCAGAAACTGTTGATGGGGTTTTGTTTGGCTTGTCAATATCTACAACTTTTACCAAGACATCAGCCCTTGAAAAGGCATTCTGGGCCAGTTACAGTGTAAAATGACCGAAAAAATTGCAATTTTTTTGGCATTTTTTACATTTTTTGCTCTACGAGTCACCCGGGCGGTAAACTATTGTTCAGTTTTCGACTTATGTCGTGTAGCCAAAACCTGTACACAAATTTTGGTACTTGTCAGATTGCGATTTAAAGCGGTAAAAGCAAATGATTTCTACCTTTTCTGCCTTTGAACATCTAGTATGGTCCTTTACGAACATTTTGGGTACTTACATGACCAAATCGAGTGATGTTTTCACATATTTCTGGCCTCATATTCGATTCCAACTCCCAAAAAATCGACTTTTGACCAAAAAATCCTTAATTATAGGCTTTTTTGGGATAAGACACCATCCCTAAAAAGCCTATAATTAAGGATTTTTTGGTTTAAGAAATGGGATCCAAAGGCAAAACAGGTGCATTTGGTGGGATGCGAGCCCACAAATAAGAATTTTCGATTGTTTGATCCTGAGTCGAAGAAAGTGTTCATCAGCTGCGACGTGAAATTCAACGAAAATTTCATTCGTAGTGAGTATTTGACATTGCCTGACGATGAAATTATTAGCGACAAGACGGAAGTTGCAAACAATGGTAAATCGCATGAACCAGAAAAATCGATTGATGACTTGGGTGAATCAACATTGAAAAATGCAACCAATTCAGATGATGCGGCATCGGAAACAGAAGATTCATTCACCAAATCAGTTGATGGAAGGGCAGCAACAAGTACACCAACACAGAGAGTTCTGCGTACAAATAGAAAGCAAACAGAATTCTACGGAGCATTTGCATATTCGGCTATTTCAATTGAACCCACGACATATCAAGAGGCAAAGAACTCAAGTGAATCAACGCATTGGATGAAATCGATTCAGGAGGAGCTCAATTCGTTGAAGGAAAATAATACATGGAATATAATCGAAAAGCCAAGCAAATGTCATGTCATTGGGAACAAATGGGTGTTTAACCCTTTGACGACCAAGATTGAACGGGTGGGAATTTTGCAATTCTGATTGCAGATTCGTGATCAGCGACCCCAAAAACCTTAAGAAAATTTTAATTAGAAGAAAAAAATTTTTTGGTTGGTCGACCCCATTTTTTCAGTCACTCCATAAGGTTACATGTAAAACTCAAAAATGAGACCAAAAATAGAGTGTTACGGGCAGAGCCATATCGTATGGCCTGAGTAATATTTTCGAACATGTTGAGTAGTTTTGGAAAGAGGAAGGTTGCTCGCATCTTTTCACCTAATATTCCGAAGTTCTAGCTCTGACCGTTTAAAAAATATAAGATTTTGAAAAGTGTGAAAAAAAGTTAAGATTTTTCAACTTTGGAGGCATCTGTGGAACGAGCTGGTGAAAAATGTCAATACTATAAAATATTTTTTGGTAGCTACATTCATTCTCTTTCCAAAAAGCCTATATTTATCAAAATCGGTTAACAAATGTGGAAATTATAGGCGAAAAACAAAATGGGACATATGTGTCCCAAAGGTCGTCAAAGGGTTAAGTTGAAAACACCACCAAACGAGGAGCCAAAGCACAAAGCACGCCTAGTTGCAAAGTGCTATTCACAATCGGCTGGCATTGATTACAAAGAGACATTTTCTATGGTTGTTCGATATGAAACCGTTCGCTGTATTCTTGCTGTTGCGGCGATTGACGATATGGAAATGGTACAGTTTGATGTCAAAACCGCATTTCTCAACGGCGGTCTGGAAGAGATCATTTACATGGAAATACCAGAAGGTATTGAGCACGAGTCGAACAAAGTATGCCGTTTGAAGCGAAGTTTGTATGGGCTGAAGCAAGCTTCAAGAGCTTGGAATTCGAAGTTTGTACATTTCCTGAAAAGTTGCGATTTGGAACAATCGAAAGCGGATTCATGTTTGTTCTACGGCTACATTGAAGGTGAATGGGTAATCGTTTAACTGTACGTTGATGATGGATTCTTTCACACAGCAGGGGGGCGATTAAATCGTTGGTAGCGAAACTGAGCAACGAATTAAAAATCACATTGGGAAATGGCGAATATTACGTTGGCATGGAAATTAAGCGTGACAGAGCAGCCAAAACAATAAAAATCACGCAGGAATCGTACATCGAAAGGGTAATCGAAAAGTTTCGGATGCGCGAGTCGAATGTCATTTCTACACCATTTGATGTTGGTACCAATTTGACCAAATCCGAAGAAGAATGCGATTTGAATTATCCATATCGACAAGCATGTGGTTCGTTAACGTATGCATCAATCATTGCACGACCAGACATTTCCTATGCAGTGGGAGAAGTCAGAAAGTTTTTGGAAAATCCAAATCGTTCGCACATCAATGCTGTTAAGCGAATCATGCGTTACTTGAATCACACAAAGTCATTGGGCATTACATATGGTGAACCGGGTGAAATGGATTTAATCGGTTACACGGATGCAAGAGATTTGGACACAAGACGATCAAAGACTGGATATGTGTTCAAGTTTGGAAATGGTTTGATTATGCGGAGAAGTCAAAGGCAAGAAACAGTTGCGCAATCCACGACGGAAGCTGAATTCATGGCAATAACCGAGGGCGCAAAAGAAGCTATTTGGTTGCGTCAACTATTCGAAGACATCGGTTTTGAACAGGCAACGGCTACGAAATTGCGTGTGGACAATTTAAGCGCCATTAAATTGGTGCAGAACCCGGAATTGCATTGTGGCATCTCTCACTAAGAGAGGTGCGTGCAACGAGAGAGTGAATG